TACAGCACTGCCTGTTTAGCCCCACCCACCGATTCTACATCACTGCCTGTTTAGCCCCACCCACCGATTCTACATCACTGCCTGTTTATTGTTTGATATGTACTGAGTATTTCTGCGTTTTTGACCTAAATCACGGCAGCGTCCATCTCCAAACATACACAAGTCAATCATAGCAATCCTCCACGCCTATTCAAACTGGCTATTTTCTGTCCTGTTTTTAACCTCCCTCATCAGAATGCTCTATTACTTCTAAATTATGTTCACCGGGATGTTGAGGGGAAATCAGGAAAGAGGAGACAAATCTGGCTGTAGATGAGTTTATTTGAGCTGCTTTTCTGTTATCCCGTGCTTGTGTTCAAAACATTTGATTAGTGCAAAGCATACAGAATCATAACCACATCAGATATAACACCCATATTTATAACACAGAAATAAAACAGACTTTTGGCCACTTTTAAAACCCAATAAGCAGATTCACTCAGAACTTCTAAAAGTACAAATAAAAGTGAAAAAGAATGAAGTGGCCTATGAAAACTGCTATTGTAAGGAAACACATTAGCGTGTTCCTCGCTCTTAATATCTGCTGCAGATGAAGTTGAGTTTGTGAGATTCAGGAAGGTTGATCCAGCGCTGATCTCCTCCAGACTGAACTGCTCCTTTTCTCCTCTCGAGGCTGCAGTTTTCCCGTGTAGTCCCGTTCCCTGGAGCCCAGTTCTGATAGCACACCATCTCTCCACTCAGCCAGAACCACATGTTCATGCTGCAGTAGTTGTGTAAACCCAACCACACCGCCGCAGTAGACGCCCGTTTAACCACGTTCATCACACGACGCTGCATCTCTTCTGAATGAACCGAGACCAGATCCACGTGATTCTGTCTGCAGTATCTCATAGCTTCAGACCACGTCAGATTCTCTCTGATCACAATCAGTTCAGCGTCTGGAAACCAAACAAACCACAAGCAGAGACTAGAGAGAGACTGATCAAAAACAACATGCGGGACAAACAAGCTATGTATCGATACTGGAAACCACGATCAGCAGCGCAGCGATTGGCTGACGGCAAGACAGCAACGTAATGACATCATATAATTAAAATAGACACCTGGAAACAGCCAAGCGAACAAAACGACATAAATGTAATAATAGATAAATGAAATGTTTTTAATAAAATTTTTTTTTTTTTTTTACATGATTCCCAATTATTTATCTTCACGATTTCTAGTATTTGTACAGGCTTTACATTTTTAGTTCAATGTAATAATTAGCAATTCATTAAATTTGATCTTTGAAGCAGATTTGTTACGTGACGGCATTAATTAAAGTTTCTTAAGGGTCAAGATCTGTCAGCACTCACCTCTATATCTGTCATCACTCACATTAATGCACGACTCTACATTATCTGTGTAGCATGTGTGTAAGACTCCACTACATTTATAGTTATTATTTTATCATGAATAAATCTTTCAGTGAGTAAAACTGGCTGTCTATACTGTAGTATTATAGACTACACAACATTATTATTTTCAAATGAATTTTTAAATGATTATTATTGTAAATTACTGTCCCTGGATCAGTAGGGTACTCTTGTAATAAAGTAGAAGTGGCTGGGACAGATTTTAAGTATCACTTAAAAAGATGCAATCTACATGAAATAAGCTGCTCCCGAGCAGGGTTAAGCTCACGGACCTGTTGCTATGAAGCAACTCCGGGATGAGCTTCGAAGAACCAAATAATCCAAGATCAGGCCAAATCATCAACAATCAAATCCAGCTAACTGAGTTAGCGATGTACGGAGAACGGGCCCCTGAAGGTGATGAATGGATTGTGTGTGTTTTGTGAGGATCTACTCACCTTCATGACACACAAAAGGATATTGGTTGGTGCAAGAGACATCACACCATAGTCCCTGAGGTTTCATTTCAATCAGTGTACAATTTTCACTACCTCCCCAATTATCCAGTTGACCAGGTTTCCAGTATCTGAATGAGGAGTCACTCTGATCTGACCACTGCCACGAGTCTCTGACTCTGAACAGACCGATCCAGACATGAGATCCAGATGAGTTATTATCACTGATGATCTTCTGAACCTGTTGACTCTCATTCTGGGTCCTCACACTGACCAGATCAGTGTGATTCTGTCTGCAGTAACTCAGAGCGTCTCTCCAACTCTTCAGCAGATTGACAAAGACAAGTCCTGTTTTCACTTTAAGAAAAACAAATGAGAAAAAGATTCATGAATTGGTTTGTTCATTATTCTTACGCTGTTTTATGGTTTGGATGTGAACAGGAGCAGCGGTGCAAACATCAGAAACACGTCATTCAACATTCGAGGAGTGGAATATCAGATATTTCATAATATAATTAACACGTTTGTAAATATTTTGAATAAAACGAAAAATGAAATAAAAGCGATACATCGCTCATTTACAGCTTTGTGGCTGCGGTGTGTCACATGACAAGCATGACACATCGCCATGGAAACAATAAGATGAAACGGTCTAACATGACGGTCATCTGAAAAACTCGTGCTGGTATATTTTAAACTCATTTGTGAAAAGATTAAAGACTTGAGCTGCTTCTACAGCTGGTAATTATGATGTATTAAATATTCACAGATATTTAAATGATACCATGATCTGTCTAAAAACGTGATTCTGATTGGCTGGAGCGTGTGCATTCAAACCATTAAATGAAACGCACACAAATACAGACCATCAGTGGCACACAGAGAAACATTTAGAAGCACAGAAGCTTGACGTCAACCCTGCGCTGTGACTTAAAATAGCTTTAATATTGAATCACTGCATTACTTTTCTCTGCAACGAGGGTTTATGTTGTAATGGACTATCATATGGCGGCAATTCTATGCCATTAGGCGCGCTCGGTAAAGCAATTCCGCGAGAGGAAAACAGATTTACACGCGAGGAAACGGGAGCCCGCAAGCTCATTTCAAACCCTCGCGCGCTCATGATCATTCCCCACATCCTCGCGCTCGCTCTTCCCTCACCTGCTCGCGCGAACACTTTTATTTTTGTCAGTCGTGGGGTGGAGCTTGCTGTTTTAATTGTAACCTCAAATGTCATTGGTTATTCCTCTTTTCCGGAAGTCAGTTTTGGACGCCTGTTATAAGATGATTTATAATTCTCTTGACTTAAGACATGGCACCAGTGGACCAGATACATGTGAGTTATCGTTTCATTTGCTTGTTTTATTCATTTATTTTGTCTTTATTTAATGTCATTTAATGCATTGTTCATAGAGTAGATCTTTTTCAGATACTTTATTAATAGGAAGTCTTCTGTTTACTAATGATTGCAGGCTTCTGATGATGAGAGATACACATATGAACCCTTTTTAAAGACTGTAATGATGCACACACACACACACAGGCTATATATAAAACTATAGGAATGACAGTAAAGTTTTCTAAATGTGTTTTATATTTAATCTTGTAAATAGAGACATGGTAATATTTGAAGGTTTGTTTAGTCTGTGTTCCTATAAAACACAGGTTTCACCATGTATGCATTTGATTTACAGTGTTACTGGTCATCTGCTATCAAAAACAGTCCATTCACGATGATGTATATGAAAACTGATTCCTGTTTATGGAAAAGAAGCTTGTAATACATTCAGTTCCAATGTATTTATTTGTGTTCTTTTTGTTGCATTATTCTTTTTTCCTTTGTATTTGCAGGTTGTGTACTTGAATGCAGCGAATAACAACCGCCCAGTTCAGGAAAGTAAAAGCATTTGAATTTTATTTCTGGAACTTTTCTGGTTCATGTTTTCTTCAAGAGGCACTGACCAAGGAAGTTTCATATGCGGTAAAAGTGTCCATAATTAAAGGTAGAGTACAGTTGTCTGAAATTTCATTTAGGCCTAAATTTAGTAACTTAAGTAATCTGTAGGTAGCTTTTCAATGTCACTTTTAAGTTAAAAATATCTTAGTCTAAGTGGATTTTTAACGATGTATTTAACTGCTAAATCATTAGGACATTGAAGAGCCAGATCTAGATGGTGACATAGCGGTTTCTTACGATGCCTGTGAAGATTTCAGAGCTATTCAAGAATTTGAATCACTTTTGAGTTCGGATGGGTTGAGGGCACTCAAACACCTTCTGAATTAAACTGGTCCTAATATCCCTGTTCAAGAACTGTATTTGCTTTGTCAGTTTTTTTTCTTCAACAAATATGGGGTAAATACATAAAAAAAATCACTGCTATGTCCCAGTCTAGATATGTCTCGTTGATGTCCTGAAGATTTAGCAGTTAAATACATCATTACAATCTACTTAGATTAATTCTTAAACAGCAGTGTGGTGACAGGGTAACTAAAGCAGGGTCACCATACCTCATCTCTTTACCTTTAATTAAGGACACTTTTCCCCTTGTTCAGTGCCTCTTGAA